GCTCACCTCCAGGTTGTAAGACACCTTTGAAAACTGTAATTGTGTTTGTTCCACTCGGTTGCTGATTGACCGTAATCAGCCGTTTGGTCCTCTGTGCCCAGTCACCAGTCTGAACCCGAGTAGCTCTCGAACTAGGTTCACTGGTTCTGCCTATTGCGGCTTCTTCCAAGCGAGTTGCGCCAAGATACATAAATCTGACGACACATGGGGTCTGCGAGAATGGATGACAAAACGGAAAGATTAAAGTAGTATGTAACACTTGGGGAACGTCGTACAAAACAATGGGAACGAATAAAACAAACGAACGAACGCGCGTTTAGCCAGAATCCAAAATTTATAGACGTCACATCAAAATCGACCGGTGTTGAAAAGCTAATTCATCATCTGCGCACAGATGCTAAGCTTAGTTCATTTCAGTTTATCAGATCAACTGGTCACCTGGCAAGATCCATAAAAAACCCTACTACTCGTCGCAGTGTTATTCAGACTTAGCTAGACTTAGACTCAGATCACCACAAAACAAGCCCCTTTATACGGCTTAGATAAATGGTCATTCTCGTTTGACTTGGCGACTCGATTGAGATGAAGCCTGACGTGGATTAGTTAAGATTGCAGTAGAAAAGTTGTCATACTATGGATAAATCTACGTCAAGACTGCAAAGGCATCTTCGTTCGTTCCAGTAGCTTTTGAAGGATGTATGTCAGAATAGGGGGCGCTAGAAAGTTGTTCGGCTCACGTGGCGGTAACACACTCTTCATGGAGGCCCTCTAACGGTTCTGAGAGCATCTAGAACAAACGCAGGCGGACTTGGTCGCACCTGAGTGAGTAGTATGGTGTAGGAAACGTGCAAACTGAGGCCGAACAAAGTTTTTGTTCTCTACTACACCACTATGTATGGAAAGTTTCTTTGAGTTCTTAGCAGCTTTCTCTCAGTCAGTTTTGTCAGTGGAAGTATACCCGCTTAGTAGAGAGTGAGAAAAGACGAATTCGGCTACACATTTCGGCCGAATGTCCTTACTGCTGTACTTTTAGAGTTGTTGAACTACTGAACTTCAGAATAGGCACACAGTGTGTTCTGCTTGAATCC